ATTACTAAATTTTGATCCCTGAAATCTTTGGTAATACCAATGTTCACTTTGTCTGGTTTTGTTGCAGTATGCCCCATGTATCAAAGGCATGTGTGATTTAATTAGTTGTTTGGATGCATATTTAGATGAAAAAACCAATATTTCTGAGGGTGATGACATTTATTTAAAAATCTATGGAACTGGCACATTATCAAATGGTGAAATTGTGTATGCTACTAGTAGATTTCATGGTAAGGCAAGGTTTAGTGATGTTGCAATTTCAATAGACAATGTTGATTATTTAACTGATAATGGATTATCTTATGGAAAGGCAAGCTATATAGAATTTCATTTATTAAATATATTGTATTCATTAATTATATTTAATAATTTGTAGATAAATGTTAGCTGAAATTTCATTTTCATTTAATCATTCTGTTTTGCCTGTTGTATTAGTATGTTGGTATGATTATTGTTCTAAAAGACATCCTCTAAAATATGGATGTTCTCATATGAAATTAATAAAATATTATGATGTATTCCATTTAATTCTATTGCAGGATTAGTACATTTGGTAAAGAGATTTGATTTTAAAAATGAATTCTTGCAAATAAATTTCTTTTTTAATTTATTTAATTAAAATAATAAATAAATTTTAAAAAATACTCGTTATATTTATTTTATTGATATTGATTTAGTTATGTAAGATTCCTTGAGGATCTTTGTAAATTTTATATTAAAGGATCCATGAAACTCAAGGAATCCTTAAATTTTTTGAAAGGATCTACAAAAACCAAGGATCCTTTAGGATTCTACAGCATTTTGAGGGATCCTTGAGTTGGGAGTACATGAGATCCATTTGAAGTCCAATTTTTTGCCTACTTTTTATTATAAAAACATTCACTGTAACTTACGTTGGTTATGTTGATCATTCTTTAATGATCTGTGACCAATTCCACTATGCTTGTTAATTCCGTATATTTTTATATTGCGTATTTTATTTGTATTTAGTAACTGTATATAGTACTTTACTATCCCGTGATTTCTACGCTGCCCGGGCGTAACGCCACACATTTAATGATTGTCCGCAGATAACTAGTTACACTGAAATTATAATTGTTTTTCTTTCACATCGATAGTTTCTTTCAAAAGTAGAAAACCAAGCAAAAAAAAAATGTCAACTCAAATTCTTTCTAAAAAACTTCAATTTGGAACCGAAATTGGAAATCATGTTAATATTGACAGTATATATAAAAGGATTTTAAAATCAAATAAGATCCATGCAATTTCAGAACCAAATTCTACCAATTCTCAAGTCATTGAAAGAGCTCGAATTCCAAATGGATTTATTTCCGCTTTTTTTCAATCTTATAACTATCATCAACATTTAAAACTTTCACCTGATGATATCTGGTTAGTTATTGCCCTAGGAGTCAGTCAACATATTAATTTTAATTCGGAAAAATATCGTTATATGTTTGTTGAGCATGAAGACAAAAAAGAAATTAATGTTTATGTTGATGGCCTTTTGGATTTTAGTAATGGAAGCATTGGAGGAAATTGGGATCGAGCAGTTCAACTGTTAACTGATGCAACTGATCGTCAAGTTAAAGAAGAAGTTGGAATAAAAAGATTATTAGAATGTAATTTTACAACTACAACTCCTACCACAAAAACTGCTAGTAATATCGTGTTATTAGATAGTATGAAATCCTATTTTAGTTATAGAATGTCAACTAGGTGTGGCATTCCAAAGATCACTTTAACTGGTACTCTAGAAGATTGGACGAAAATTCAAGAAAAATTAGTTCAATTACGTAAATTAAATTTGGATTTAGATTTTTGGTTAAATAAATTAGATCCAATTATTGGGGAATTTGTTTCAACTTATAAAGGTGAAATAAATGAAGATTTTTGGAGTAGAGTTTTGTCTTATCAATCTTATGGCTCTGGTGAGCCTACTTTAACCGGTTGGATTACTACGTTCTTTCCTTATACTCATGATGGTCGTCCTTTAGGAGCAACTGCACGTTTGAGTGATTTACCTTGTGGTCGAGTTAGTGTACCCTTTATTGGTAGTTTTGTTGAAGTCGGCATGGATTTAAAGCTACAACTTGTTACGGGTTTTATAGGCTACAAACAAGAAAGTGCTAACAACAATGATGGTGATGCAGAAGTTATTGTTTCACCTGTAATTAGTTGGGCGGTTGCTGAAAATAATGAAGAATAAGCTGAAAGTTACAAAGAACTAGCATATTGATTTATTATTATTATTATCATTGCTTTGATTTTAAGTTGTATATATATTTTTGTCGTTATTATTTTTAAAAATTAAATTAAATGACTTTGGTATGCTTGCCAAGTGACATGACTTGTTACACTTAACTTAATGTAGTTTAGCTTAATTGAAACATTATTTATTGAGGGCTTGTTGATGATTTCTTATACAATTCATTCTCTCTATAATGGATCTTTCTATAACGGATCTCGGACTGAGAATTTAAGCCCAATTATATGTCTCGTAATAATAAATTATTACGGACGGATTGATTTCCGCTATATAACGGATATTTTCCCCAATATTAAGCCAGATGGTCTGTTATACAGAGAATGAACTGTACACAATTGCAAATCATCAAAGAGAGGTTATTTTGCTTCAAAGATTCTTTACTTCAAGTTTTAATTACCAACCCAGTCCGCTCTGTGGATAAGTGATCTCGTTTAACGATTTTTGACTTGGCATAAGGGGGAATAGTTACGATATTGTGTTTGCTGTGCAAGCAGGCTTAATTTTATTAATATATGGCATACCGATTTTACGACTGATGCTTTTCCTGGGGGGATAGATTTATCGTATAACGAGTATTTGGTATACATTTGGTAGTAACATTGGATGCTCAACCTAAATCGCTAAACAACTTGTTGAAGTATGAGTATGTAGTTCGAATTCACCTTCGTTAAAAGTAGAACAGAATGACAGCAATGACAGCTATAATTATGCAATTGACTATTGCTTTATCTAAAGCTCTTATATCTTAATATTAGTATTAGACTTAAAGCTGTTAACCGAATCCGAAACTATTTCGGATTTCAAAAAAACAATGCATCGGTAGTAGAAAGGTTTCTGGCAAAAAAGAATTTTTTCTTTTTTAACGAACTCTATATAACATATATGTTCTATTAAAATCAATTATTTACCTGGTGGGCTCTCGCATTAACATATCTATCTAAACCATCTATATTAACTGAATTTCTCTTATTTTCAATTATACTTCTATTTGGAAAAGACCTTTTTTTTCATGAGCAAGACGTATTTTATATTTACAAACATTAAATAATTTGATATTTCAATGATTGATTATATTTTATACCGGTGATTATCTCGACTATTAATCTTTTCAAAGTCAAAACAAAACAAAATACTTGACAAATTTTCCAATTCAATTTTATTAAAAAATTATATATATATATTGATTTTTTAACTGAAAAAATAACAAATGGGTTTTTCCAAAAATCATAATTAAATATATATTAAAATATTTTTGTAAATTTATAGATCCATTTTCTTGCACAACAACCTGATGGCAATACAAACATGTTTGCATAATTTCCTTCTTTAATTCTGGCAATAGTAAATCCAATAATTATTTTTTTGAATCCTTTGATTTCATTCAACAAAATTTGCGTTTGATCATTATTATGATTTAATTTATTTTCCATCTCCTTGAGGTCATCTTTGAGATTTTTTTTCTATTTCCCTCGTATTATTTTCAAGAATAATTTTTATTTTCTTCAGATTTCCAGTGTATCTTCAATTTGTTGAAATCTTGAATCAAAATCATTTTCTGTTTTTTTTTTTTTTAGACACTTCAGCAAGTTGTCTAAGCCTATCAGAAATATATGGAAGATATTCTACATTCTCGTTGCTATCATCCACTTTTTTAATTTTTTTACAATTGGTGCATCATAAGATCTAACAAAAAAAAATTTAAATAATTATTAAAAGAAATTTATCAAAATGATTTAATTGATTAAATAATTGTTATTATTTTTACAATATATCTGGAAACCAGTTTCTCCAACAACGTTGATTAGGAAGCAAATAAAATAATTCAATGTCTATGATAATTTTTGCTTTTTGAGCCAAGAGTGCTTCGTTTGTATTATAATGTTCAATTTCATTGCTAAGCAACCCAACGAATAGATTCATTAGGTATACCACAATTATTAACGAAAATGCAACCACTAATACTGTAAGATATGAATCATCTTGCAACACCCAAGCTCCAAATGCTCCATCATCTCCTAATAAAAAAATCCATCAAATTAAATTATTTAACTTGATTATTATTTTAATGAAATATATATATAACTACTACCTGCAAGGAAATCATACATTTCCAGAATTGAAGAAGGAGATTGTGCAAACATGTTTGTATGGCCATCAGGTTTTTGTACAAGAAATGGATCTTGATTACATGAATTGTTGTCTGCAAAATATGTATAATATTTATTAACGAGGTTCCAAGGATTGTTGTGATCACCATTGAAATTAAGGTTGTCTAATGCAACATCTTGACTCGGTTTCAACAATAAAAAAATGTTTAAAATGATTGATTATAACTATTGTAATTAAGAACCAAAAGACTTCTTAGCAACTCCAATAATAATGACAATAAATTAAAATCAGTTGAACTGGTGATGGATTATTATAATGTAACCATAGAATTGAAGTAACGATTGCCAAGGAATAGGAACCTAGGTTTATTAGTTAAGATTATTATTATTAAAAATTAGTTGATTGATTAACAAATAATAATAAAATAACACCATACCAAGGTAATTCCGGAGATTTGTAATATAATTTCAATAGATTTCAGTTAAGTTATCAACTTCTACTATAATATGAATTGCTCCAAGGATAATTGTTGTGGTTAATAATAAATTTTTATTATTATCAGGTAACTGATCTGGAGAAGTAGAGGTTGCAATAACAAAGTTTAATAAAAAAATCAAATATTCCAATATAATATCTGAATCCAAAAGTGTTCCATTTATGATCCAAAATTATAATCCTCAAGCACCCCATTCAACTAATTCAACATATATATTATTATATAATAATTCTTTCAATAATGAGTATTTAGGTTTGCATGTAAGTGATCCAGGATATGGAGTTATCAATTTTACGCAATATTTAGCATTATCTTTGTTGCAATTTTTGTATAAAGAAAAACCTTCCAATAAAAATATTTTATTTTTATAAACAAAATTTTCATTAACCATTGCATTATAAACAATTACTTCACTAAAAATGATGGAAATAATATCATTGAAGTTTGATTAAAGAATTTTGATGTTTTAATGATTTTTTTGTAATCCTGGTAATTCTGACAATAAACTAGTATTTGT